GGAGCGCCGGCAGGGGCCAGGGCCAGGAAACCAGGATGTTCCAGGGCACCTTAGCTTTGCCTTCTGGGGCTTGCCCTCAGAGCCCAGAAGCCTTTTTTTTTCTCTGTAGGCAACCCAAGTATCTTACAAGGGCTCTATGTCGATGATACTAGTACCAACAAATTGGAACGAAAGAGTAAGCTAACAGCAGTTAAGGTTTGTGGGACTTCGGAGTCTGCGTAAGGTGGTTTGGGCCTTGGGGAAGCCGACAGTTCCAGGGCACCTCCACGTAGAAGAAGAGGCCCTCCAGCTCCAGCTGTGCTTTCTTCCACTTCAGCGGCCATTTCTCGCGGCCCACAGGCTCCCCTGAGAGTGCTTCATGCAGGGTGCACACTACGTCGCAGAGGAAAACGCTCAGCCAACCCAAGTAGCAGTCGTTCCTCCAGGAGCTGTAACGTGAGTCGACGTCCCTGAAGATCGAAACCTGCTCGGCGCTGGCACTCAGCGGATCTCGGCAGGTCGCTTGTGGGAAGGAGAACTCGCCTTGCGAAAACCGTTCCTCCAGCTGCTTCTCGTTTGTTTTGAGGCAATCGGCCGTCGCGCGAACATTTTGAGCAATAGCTTGCCAGTCCACAGGGGCCATAGACTGCTCCACGCAGCCTGGGTCCAGCGCAAAGTCGTTGTCGCTCATCTTGTTGTAGCTCTTCTTCGCGTGTGGCCAGGTCATGGTCCAGGTCCGCAGCTCGGGGGTCATCCCCAGAGAGGCGCCTGCTGAAGGAATGGCCGCGACGCCCGTAAGCCACATCTTAGGTGAAAATCGGTGCCTTTCCCGATGCAGCGCAGCTCTCTTAGGCTCCCCTTGTCTGCCATCAGGCGTGCCTCACTGCCTCACCTTACGTGTACTGCGGTTACCTCGTATGGTCAGTTGCCTTCATTGACTTGGGGGCACCCTGATTCACCACGACATGTCTTACCGCCTGCTGTCTGTGAAGGGCAGGTGAACTGCATGCAGCGAGGCAGGAGAACACAATACAGCCGATCAGTCAGCCGAATGAAGCTCCATCACCAAATTGCAAGATTTTGCCTTTGATTCCCTTGAGCCTTTGCACTTTGGCATAGACTCGAAGCCCGGCCCCAAACCTTGAACTCCCCGACCCGCCTGCTAGGCCGTGCTTGCGCAGCGTCGCATCTGCCAGCGCCAGCTGTCGAGGCGAGCGGCGCCTTTCTTTCCGCAGGGAATCCCAGAGAGTTAGTCTAGGGCGCCTGTTTAGTTTGGTAGCCTTTTCATGTAAAACAGATTGCAAAGCAGAGGCTACCAGTGGTTATTGGCCCTCCTGGAAGGTTTTGGAGGTTTCGGGTTTGCCCCAAAACCCCAGGGGCTGCGGCCCCTCAAAAGGGCTATGGGGCTCGCAACGACTACTGGCTATTCCGAAGAATTGAGGACGTTGGGATCACTTGCGGTTTCGGTTGAGGGTGAGCATGGTGGGCTTCCCATTTGCTCCAAGCAGAGCCATGTGCATGACAAATGTTCACGACTTCAAGGGGTCTTCCAGCAGGAGCCCGTTCATCCTAAACGTCCATCTGGGGCGTGCCGTTTTTTTCCCCTTCTTTATTGGTACCCTGCAAACCGACTACGAGGGTTCCTAGGCTGTAATGGCACTGTACTGTAATGGCTACTGTAATGGAGACCCAAAACGGGACCATCTACGTCTCCGAGCTCTTCCTGCCGAGGGGCCAGGCAGAGCTGAGGACGACCGTGGCATTGCAGCTCAGCACCTCCGCCCAACTCCTCCTCCTCCCTAAATCCCGTGAGCCTTGCTCCTACTCCGCAAAGGCTCAGCCCTGACTTCTCAATAGCAAGCTCGAAGGTGTACGCTAAGTATGGATGATCTAGCTTGCGGATGAAGTAGAGCTGCTGACTCCTAGCTCCTGTTTGCAGGCAGCTCGGAAAAGGGAAGTCAAGCCCCGCGATTGCTGTTCCCGAGCCCAGTCGCCCAAACCCAAAGTCGGCCCTGAAACCGAAACCCCCTAAGCCCGAATCAGCTGCTTCTCAGCAGGGTCGCAAGATACCGCAGGGCGAGCATGGAAGTCTCATTGAAGCGCTGTATGCCATCCTCAGGCAGGGGGGATTTAGGGTACTGTCCACGCAGTCCACACTTGGTGTTTGACACACACTTGTGCTACTACACCAAGTTCAAGCCCAAAACAAGTCAAGCCTGAAGCTGCAAAGTCGTACATTTCAAGTTTCAACCCCCCCCCCCCCCCCCCAGCCAACCGGCGACCCAGCTGCCGAGGCGTGCAGCACTCCGTCCACGTCGAGAAACCTACGGCAGGCGCTGTTCCCAACTTAGAAGGGACTCCGAGAGGAACAGCTATGGGGCTTTGGAGCCTTCAGGAATCCAAGGCCCAAGGCTGGACATTGGCAAGGCATAGCCCCTGCTTGCTTCATTGTCGCATGTCCCTTCAGGTGTGTCCTCCCAGCCCCTTTCCAACCGGCCAGTTGAACCACCCCCCCCGCCCCCCCAAAAAAAAGGGAAAAGCCATGCAAGTGATCTGAGTACCTTGCAGCACAGCCTTGCCGGGCTACGTGACCCATGAAGTATCAACCTCTAAGGGCGTTGTGGGCTCAGGGCTTTGTTGGGGTTGCATCGGGCCTAAATCCTAGAAGAAGTAGGTTAGGATGGCATTTTGCACCTTACGAAGCATTCGAAGCGAATCTCTGCGACGGTGCCAAGGCACACCACCACGGTGGGGTCCGGAAACGACTGCAAGGCAGCTGCAAAGCCAAATCGGCCTTGCTTGTCCTGGGCAGGACGTGGGCTTCCCTCCTTTTGGGGAAGGTGGCCCAAGCTTGAGATGTTGTCATGACTCTAAGTTCCGACTCCAGTGAGAATGCGACCCCTTCCTAGGCTGTAGGGATTTGGGTCGTCCCTACACCCATCTACACCCCTAAACTTGAACCCTCAACTGCCCCAACACCCTCTCACGTCGGGGATGCTCCGGGGTTGGTGCGCTTCTGGGTGCATATGGCCCCAGCTGCTGCTTCCCTCTCAAGGTCGTTACAAGGGCTTTTAGCCTTGGAGCCCTTACATATGCCTTGCGGCTCATGCTTTTGAACCCTCTAACACTTTCGAAGCCTCTAGCAAAGGGTTGAAGAGTCGAGGGGTTGGGGTGTAGCAAGTGCAGGCTGTGACAAATACATTAGTCTATTCAACTCCTTCCGATGTCGAGCGTTTGGTAGTCAAATCCTGGAATGCTTTTGGACTTTTGGACTGGGGCGACTGGAGCGCCCTAGGAGTACCAAAGGCTTGACCGGTCAAGCATTGCAGAAGCAAGTCTCGATGTCGTAGCCTCCGAAGCCGAAGCCAAAAGATGCAACCAATCCTGGGCTGTGGCATTCTCCGGGGGCCGTGTTGGGGCAGCTTGAGCTGTCACTGTGCGACTGCACATACTTTTGAGAGCGACACCCGCATCCACTGCTCCAGTTATGGTCGCTAGCTGATCCTTGGACCTTAGAAAACCCAGAGGCTCTGCACATCCGATGAACGAAAACTCCTGCACCAAAATCCCCGGCGAGCACCAGGCAAAGCCCAGTAGTACTCCAGACTCTGGAGTACGTCCCGGATAGTTCTTTCCCCCCTTCCGTCATCGCATGGGACACCACACGTCCACATTTGCGCTTCCGAAGGCAACAACGGCCCCCCCCCCACCCCCACGCCCTGTGAGCAACGAACCCCCCGCCCCCACCCAGGTGTGCCAAGGAACTGGGATCCTCCGGAGGCAGGTCGAGGCTCGTTTCAAAGGTGTCGCCTGAGTCTCGGATTCGAAAGGATGCAGGATTCAGAAGCGCGCTCGAAGGCCAACGCTTGGGGTCTGTATGGGCTGTCGGGGCTCGGCGGGGTTCGGCAGGATTCGGCAAGGCTTGGGGTGGGTCCGGAACACCCTGATCTACGCTGAGGCAGAAGAAGTGTCCGTGTCCGTCTGATGTGGATCGTTGAAGGGCTTCGGTTTGCTAAGTTCGGGCTGAAGGTCTAGTATTCATTGACCTGCTGACAACACTACAGCTGCCCAATTCAAAAGACAAGACCTCAAGAATGTGGCTGACACCCTAAACCCTGAACCCTCAACCCTGAACCCTGAACCCTAAACCCTAAACCCTAAACCCTAAACCCGAAACCCTAAACCCTGATTCGATGCCCAGGCTCTCTCCCCCCAGTCTTTGTCTGGCCGGTAGGCGCAAGAAAAGATCCATTGCAGTGCGCTGAACATGCTGAGGCCACGCCGAAACAAAAAACGCAGGATTCTGGGCTCGGACCCCCAAACCCCAAGCCTCAAAGGGTTTAGGGTTTAGAGTTTATTAGGGCTTGGGGTTTAGGGTTTAGGGTTTAGGCTTTAGGGTTTAGGGCCTCGGTCCGGCTATAGACCCGAAGAGCCAGCAGGCGTCTGTAAATGTGCTCCTATGCTGGAATGTCCTAAGTGCCAAAGATGGTCATAGTGAAGGAACCCTAAACCCCAAACCCTAAACCCTAAACCCTAAACCCTTAACCTTAGTCAGTCACTTTGGCATACGCCTGCGGCACGGAGCCCCGCAGCTGCAGGGAGCCGACTTCAACGTCAGAAACCCTCGGCAACCCTCGCGCAACTGAGCTCAGGAATGGGGTTTACGGTTCAGGGTTCGAGGTTTAGTTCAGGGTTCAGGGTTCAGGGTTTAGGTTTAGGGTTTAGGGTTTGGGGTTTAGAGTTGTGAGCGGGAAAAAGCTGATTCATCCAAGACATGATCGCCTCGACCCTCAACCCGTGGACCATCAACCCTACTTAAGGTTTAGGGTTTAGGGTTTAGGGTTTAGGGTTTAGGGTTTAGGGTTTAGGGTTTAGGGTTTAGGGCTTAGGGCTTAGGGCTTAGGGCTTAGGGTTTGGGGTTTGGGGTTTGGGGTTTATTAGAGCCTAGGCTCAGGGCAGGTAGGGCAAGTCCCTCAACTCCAAGAAGAGTTCGTCGAGGGCTACGCCGTAGCATCCGCGGCCTCCGCCTGCGGCATCCGCGCCAGGAGCTGTGCCAGCCTGGCAGGAATCCCACAGCCTTTCAGGCTTTTGAGGGTTTAGGGTTTAGGGTTTAGGGCTTATGGTGTAGGGTTTAGGGTTTAAAGTTTAGGGTTTAAAGTTTAAAGTTTAGGGTTAAGGGTTTAGTGTTTAGGGCCTTTAGCGTTTGTAGAGCTTGTAGGGGTTCAGGGTAGGGCTTGTAAGGGTTCAGGGTAGGGCGTTTGGGAGTTCAGGGTTTGAGAGGCTTAAAGGCTCTGGGGGTTGAGGGGGCTTTGGGGGTTTTTCTAGGGCAGGGTTGCGGGTACTAATAGCCAGCCGTGCATTCAAGGATCCAAACTCGTGGCTCGAGAACCTCTAATTCTTTACCCCAAAACCCGACAACCATGCATGCTTCCGATGCCCAGGATCCCTACACCTGCTTCCAAACCCTGGTCCCCCCAAACCCTGGTTACCCTAAACCTTTTGCCCTAAACCCTTAACCCCTTAGCCCCTAAAACCCCCACGAGTCCAAAAACTCGCGCCTTGCTTCCTCAGCCAGCGCCCGGTCCTCCGCACGCCGCCAAGCCTGCGTGCAAGTTGGCTGAGCTGCAAGCGCTTCACCCCAAGCTGCTCTTCGAGGTTCTTTTTTGTTTTTTCTTTTCTGGTGGGGAGGGGGGGTGGGGGGGCGAGCTTCTCTCGGCTTGTGGAGCTCAGGGGTCAAAGATCCAGTTTGCATGTTTTTCCTTGGGCCCTTGAGTGTTTTGAGTGTTAGACTCCGCCTTCAGACCTCGGGAACAAAAGAAGGACTCCTCAAGAAGGCCCCACGGACCCAACAAAAAAAGGGAGGGCGCGCCTCCTCTGAGGCCGCTGCCCGACGCTCCGCCTCGACCACCTCCGACCTTGCTGAGAATCTGAGGGGGGTCGGACAATGAGGACTTTCAGACTATGCTCGAGTCAGCTGAGTCTAAAGCTTCTTGATTCTTCTGGCCCATCCTGGGCCCTAAACCCTTAAACCCGAAGAGTAGGGGACAGCCAGGGACCAAACGCAAGGCTCAAGTGCTCGGTTCTGAGTCCGGCACTTCAGTGCTGCCAGCTGCGGGGCCTGGGCACTCGGGGCCATATGTCAGAAGACTATCCCACAGCCCCCCACACCACCCACCCCGCCCGATCCCCTCCCCCGGAGCTCGGATGAGATAATTGTATGACGACTAGCCAAACTGGAAACATCCCATCCCGCTTGGGCGCCGGCCGCCGCCTCTTGCGCCCGCGCTTCGGCTCCAGCCGCCTGCCTTTTGCCATGGTCAAATTGACAAAGCTTTGAGTCCCTTAAAACCCCATATGACCTCCTGCAAACACTCCACGAACTTATTGGGACGTAACGGATGCCATCAGTCTTTTGTACATGCTCACACGCACACACACACACACACAGAGACAGAGACAGAGCACAGACTGAGAGGAGGAGCAGGTCGAGGGAGAAGATGGAAGAATGGTGCTTTATGTGAACTGGCAATTGGCAATTTGGATGTTCCAATGCCTAAAAAAACAGCGATAATGTACCAATGCACAGCGAGGCTGTGGGATGTGGTTGCGTTCAGGATCACTTGCAGGTACACAACGATGGCCAATCGGTATCCAATCGGTAGCTTTGTCGGCACAGGTACCACGGTGGGCCTGTGCCCCTTTGCTCCTGAAAGACAAAGATCGGCATCCTGTGTAAGGTGCTCTCGTGTGGAATGTCTTGATCGCATGCTCGGTGACTTCACACACACACTCTCTCTCACAGAGAGAGAGAGAGAGACACACACACACACACACAAACAGGGACACACACACACACACTCACAGAGAGAGAGAGAGAGACACAGAGACACACACGAACACACACGGCAACAGCCACAGAGAGGCAGAGAGGCAGAGAAGCGGAGAGTGGCAGGGAGAAGCGGAGCGTGCCTCTGCGCCTCGGCCCGCGCTTCCAGCTCGAGGACCGGGCCTGGGCTTGTGGATTCAACTTTGGATGTCGGGGAATATGGGCGTTTCCGAACTTAGGGGGTACCTTAGATCTGACTAGTTGGGGGTCTATATTGGGGCCCCCAAAGGCAAAGCACCCAAGCACCTGCAAAAAAAACTTCGCCGGACGCGAAGCACGACCCCAAGCCCAAGTCCGAGGCCCCCCAACGTCAGAACCTGACGAAAACTCGCTGAGCCCCGCTGCCCTGCGCTTTCAGCTGGTGGTCGGCCAAGTTTTGCAGCAGCACCTGGCAAATGGACAAGCTCATGTACATTGACACCCAATACCGCCTTGTTTGTGTTTTTTGTTTCTTCTTTTCTTTTGTTCGTTTCTTGTGGTTTTTTTTGGGGGGGTCTGTGATGTGGGATGATTTGGGCTTGGCGTTGAGTGGGGTTTAAACTCCAAAAATTTCGGGTTTAGGGTTTCATTAGCGCCTAAAAGATTCAGCAATGTGGGGTTTTGGGGCCGTCTGAGATCAAAGACGCGGCCTCCTGCTCATCCGCATACTTCTCCTCTCGGCTGGTCAGATGTGTCAGCTTGGCCATCTATCCGGGGTTTACGACAATACGGACACCTGAAAAAAAACTCCCAAATAGTAGGACCCCCTTCTTATAATGAGGACCCCGATAAGGTACCCCGAATATCGTAAACCCCTTGCCCTGAAGCCAAAGGCTGCGTGAGTCTCCTTCGCAAGGCGCAGCTCTGCAGAGCAACGCTGCTCCAAGGACCTTGTGCAAAGGATCTAGGAGGGCTCAGGGCGTTAGAATTTATGATTCAGAGTTTAGGGTGTATATATATATATATATAATAGTAGTGTGGATTTTGGGTTCACTGTTTCGGGGAGGGTTTAGGGCTTAGAATTTGAGAGTTCGGGGTTGAGAGTCTTAAGGAGTTTGCAGGCTGGAGTTTTTTCGGGGGATGGGGGGGTCAAGAGCATGCCAGCGTGTCGGAGAGCCTCATACCACCAAACAGACTCAAAACTTCAAAAAGCGGGCGGGGCCGCTGAAGCGGGTCGCTTAGCTAACTTCGTCCCCAAAAAAGGCTTGTATATCCTGAGATTGATGCTGGGCATACTGTTAACGTTCTGCAGTAAAGAAAGCTAAATGAAAAAGGCACCCAAAAACCTTTTTGCAAGTAAGTGGGCTGCTGAGACATTTGGAGCCGAACGATCTTGATCTCGCCCCAAGGAACTTCGGGCTCCTTCTGAGCTCCGTGCTGCAGATGGCGCTGGGCATCTTCCTTGGCGCCCTGCGCAGTGGCCAGGGCCTCAAGAAACAACCGGGTCGGCCTCGGGGGCATGGGGTTTTGGTTTCATCTCTTTTTAACCCTGAAGAGCCCAGGTTGCTCGCTTGGGTTGAAAGGCCAGGGGTGCTGACGAGGGTTTGCCTGGGTAGCCCTTGGGATCAAAGACACTGGACCCAAGGGCTTCGATTTGAGGGCTGCGCCTCTACAAGACAATTCCCCAGGTCTTTTCTCAGGATGAGGCCTGTACTTCGCAACAGATGCAAGTCGACTTATAAGATGAATGTTTCTTCTTGCTTATGCAGACACTTCTATGATAAATACTTGTCATATTCACGCTTCAACCTGAAGCAACTTCCGCTCCAGGCTTGCCTGTGCCAGTCCTCAACCCAAAAGGCCCGAAACCGTTCGAAAGCCGAATCCCGCCCCCCTCACTTCGTGGCCTCTGCGAGGCAGGTGTCCTTCTGGCATGAGGCGGCCTCTGCCTTCCCCAGGCTCCAGACATATGTACTCGAGTCTTTTGCCTTCTAACTCATAACCCTCGTCTCATCCTTTGTCAGGTCATACTACACTGTAAGAAAATCAAAAATAATGACTTATGTTCTATACCTGTGCTTGCCTGCAAGCAGTACTCATGAAACGCAAATGTGTTTTCAGCTAGGGAACCCAGAGCGGCCGCACGAAGTAGCGACACACCAGCAGCCACTCATAAGTGCAAGGCTAGGATCTCGTTCAGCGCATAGCAACGCAAAAACTCAAAAAGACTCTGTTGCGATGGAACCCTAAACCCCTAAGCCTGGCGGTGGAACTGGTGAGTGTGTGCTCCCACGCTGCTGAGGTCTCTTGGCAAGCCCCAAAGACCCCCTGCAAGAAAAAGACATTCCACTCTGCCATAATAAGGTACATTGTACTGGTTAGACATGTAGCGAGCCTTTCAAAACCAGACTCTGCCTCCTCAACTCGCACAACTCCCCCCCCCCCCCCACAACCACCCCCGAGAGTCACCTCACTTCGCAGGCTGGCGATGCGCTGATGGGACTCCTCCTCCACCTTTCGCGGTCAGGGAGCTTTTGGGAGATTGCCATCGATGTTGCGTACAGGCTGACTGAGTGTGGAGTGTTTTTGTTGTTGCCTTCCGGGGTTTTAGCATCTTAGGGCTGAGGCATGTTTGGGCCCTCGTTTAGCATTGGGGGGCTCGAACCAACAGCTGTGAAGGAGGGCATCGACGCACAAGCAGTCAGATGATAAGAGGTAAGATTACCGATTGAAAGATAAGCTGTCATCTGATGCAATACTCTGTCCTGCGTCAAGTGCCCTGGACCCTGAGTTCCAGGATGCATCATACGTATGGACCTGAGAGCTGCAAGTCGTGAAGAAGCAGATCCCAGCAGGGCGAACACGTGACCTGCTTGATCTCCGTGCGAAGGGATTCCAGCGATGTCTCCACCTAAGCCGCAGGGGGCAGGCACCTCCAGAAGTAATTGAGAGCTGCTCTTGATTGCAGTCCCTTCTTCGGGAATCCTCTTCATATGGAGTTGATAGACATGGTGTTTCTGAACAACTTCCATGTTGTAGGTTCAGCACAAGGGCCTCGACACTATTGGGCCCCAAAAAAAACTACAAAAAAAGCCGATACACCCCTAAACCCCTCAACACTGAACATGAAAACAAGAATCAAGCAACACTCGGGGCCTTCATATGTACACCGAAGAATTCACCCATTCCCCAGACTCAAAAAGATGATAAACGGTGAAGGGCGCGATTTCGGAGGTATTTCTTACGCGCCTGAACAAGATGGCTGTCTCAAAGAAGCGCCATAAGTTCAGAAATAGGCTGGCGTGCGTAAACACCGGTGTGTTTGCAAGGATAGACACCTTGCTGTCAAGATAATCTCCCGAAGGGGCTGAAAAGACCCCTCCCCGGCCTCGGCGACTCTGGCTTCGGCAGCCTGGCGACTTGCCTGCGCCTGGCGAGGGGAACTTGGCCTCCCACTCAGCCCCTTCTTCCCCTAGTAAGAACTAGGCTCAATGCGGGTTGTGGAGGGAGGCCTTGTTTACAGGTTCTGGCGAGGCATTCCCGAGCCCGATCTTTCCTTCCCCCACCCCCCCCAACCCCCCAGCCCGCCTTGGCGAGCCTCCTCCGAGCATCGGCTTGCGCATCCTCCTCCGAGCTGAGGCGAACGTGGAATTGTAGCGCAGGGCTCGGGGCTCATCGGGCGCTAAGGGCCTTCGGGGCTTCATTCTGAGGCCTCCAGAGTTTGGAGCTTGTGGGAGTTGTTTTTTGGGTCACTCTGAAATCCTAAACGCTAAACCCTAAACCGTTGGGGTTTCGAGTTTCTCCAGCCTCTTCCTTCTGCTGCGCCAGGGCTTCTGCCATGGCCTTCGCCTGCTGCCACGCGTTCTTGGCACAGCTCTCCTGGAGCTCTCCGAAACAAAGCGGGGGATCAGGGCGCATAATAATATTAAATATTGCTAAAGTAAAAATAAACTAACCAAGAACATTTGAAAATTGTGCATCAGACATTTAGTACGACTTTAGCATGCTTTGACCCCTGCTGCGCTGACACGGCGTCTACTGAGGTGTTCCGGTGGTGGCTGGGAGTCAAGCACAGCATCTGATCGCTAAAAGCCTGACCCAAAACAAACACACCAGCCCAAGATGCTCCAAGGGGGGCCTGTTCCTCCCGCAGAAACCTCGACCTAGACTACTCAGCCCTCGCAGCAGGTCTCCATCTGGTGGAACTGACGGCTTGCTTCCTCCTGCCAAGTCCGCTGGAATTTGCACACCGGACCATGGAGACGGCTAACCCGAAAACCCTCAACAAGATCCAACCCCCCAACTCCGAAGCCCAAACCCTTGTAAAAAAAGGAACCTGGGAAAACCCTGAGATCGACCTTCCTCAGGGGACGCATCTGAAGTCCCTGCTGCCACGCCTGCGCCTGCAGCTCGGCGGAGAGGTCCGAGGCCTCGGACGCCTCGGAGCCTGACGGCTCCGGTGCCGCCTCCGCAAAGTGGCACTTCGTGCGCTGTGGGCTCTTTGTTCGAGTTTCTTGCTTTTTCCTCCGGTTTCTTAGGGGAGTTCAGGTCTGGTTCTGAGGTGGTTTTAGGGGTTCAGGGCCCTTGGGTGATTTTGGGGCCTTGTGTTTGGGGCCGCAATGTGAGCAGAGATCGTGAGCTACAGTGAAAGCCTTCTTTGTTTGTAAAGCGTTGCCATCTCCCCACGCCTACTTGAATCTTAATCCTTCTCTTGTGACACCCGCCTCAATTCTCAGCCGTAAACCGCTCCACGAACCCCAAGACATCAAACCCAAAATTCTACAGGCCCTGCCATCCTCGTTGCCGACGGTTTCGGACGTTCTCTTATGCTCTTAACCTGGTTTGAAGAGACACATCTCCTGAAAAAGCAAAAGTCAAAACCCTCAAAGCTTCTAAACACTCCTCTTCCGAAGCTTCTCTCGGGGGTTTCATCCCGGCCTCCGATACCTCCGATGAGGGCTCGGGCACTTCCTGCACCGCCGCCCGCCTCCTTGGTCTTTGCGAGGCTTCGCTTTGCGAGGTCTTAGGTTGAGGAGGGGCTCAGAGCCTTATTATGATGATTGTTCTTCTTGTTATTATCACTACTACTATTATTGTTATTAGTATTACTATTGTTGTTCTTATTACTATTATTATGGTAGTCGAGATGAGGAACAGCTCCAAGCCGAAGGAGGCTGCACACCAACAAGAGAGTAGGATCGCAGGTTTCTGATCCATGGCAGACGCATCATTGCAGTCTCCTTTAAAGGAGGTCAGAATCTCCCAGTACTTGAATGTAGTTGCAAGGACACGAGAACGCCAAGGGGCGGCGATGTCGGCAATGAGATAGGAGCCGGGGCCTTCAAGCAAAGTGGCAAGACTTTGTTTTCACTCCTTGTTTCCCTCCTCGCGTGTTGGATGCTTCAGGGGTCTGGCAAAAGGGCTGAACGAAACGAAGAGTAAGCTCGGCAAGCTCTCGGCGGCCCGATGCAGGGGACAGGATGATGCCTTCTGCCATTAACCTTATGATTATGACCCATGCCGGGTCGTCACTCTGTATGCCCAACTGCTTCACCCAGACTTCATCTTTTTTCTGTTGCTGTGACTACTGCCACCAGTCTAGATCAGCAGCTCCATTCTGGAGTGAAACTCTGGAAATCTTGGCAATCTCTCGCTCAGAGCAACTAGAAGCCATTTTCAAGTTTTTGGAACTTGAGGGCTGCAATGCAATTCACGATTTGCCCGGAAAAGGTTCTTGCTCCTGACTTTCAGGGGAGCTGCAACTTGGGTGCGACACGACGTCACCCCCGAGAGCCCCGGTGGCTTCGGCGGGAACGCGCCTTGTTCGTCACGGCACGGCGTAGCCCACACGTGTAAGCCTGTACTAACCCTGTGCATTACTCAACCCAGGTGTTGCGACGCACTGCCACGATGTTTCATCACGGGCAAAGAAAGGAAGATCAGTCTCCTGTAGCAGAGATCCCGAATTCATTACGTGTAATGTCTTCCAACGCTGCCCTGCCCGGCGACCACTTCTGGCAGAGTCTACAGGAAGCAACTTGCCGTTTGAAAGTGCCGCTTCGGGCTTCGTGCAGCATGGGAAGAAGCTACGATTTCGAAACTGCGAGTGCCTGTCACATCGCCTTTCGGCGGGCACTCTGTCCATGGAATGGATTGGCCAAAAGAGCAATTGCTGAGCGGGCCCCATCATCCGGACCGGCTTCTGGCTAACCACATGCCAAGGTGCGCAGCCACTTAGAAAGCTGTGCGCCTGAGCATAAGCCTGGTTATGTCATGATTTGATTTGAGTACCTCCCAGTAGGGACAGTAAACCACATATACACCTCCGATTTGTCATCTCAAAAGGCCCCAAAAGGCCAAGAATTGGCTCTCGACAAGTTGGCTGCAAACCAGCTGGCATGTGACACTCTGAGAACATTAGCATGCAAAACTGTAACGCGCAGTGCGAACTGCTGGTTGTGGACATGTTTCCTGTGCAGCAGCTTCAAGTGTCGTGACACTTGTCACTTTCGCGGCTGCTGCTGCTTCGAAGCATTAGATATCAGCGGGGCCATTTCAATTCATGCTCGCTTGCTCCACCTACTGGCTTAGGCTAGCAGTCCTACTGGTCCTGAAACCTCGCGAGTCGGAAGCTCATCGACAGCATCGGGCAGCGAGACCGAGCTAGTGGCTGAAGCCAGGCACACATCGGTTTCGTTGTAACTCGTCTCGTTGTCCGGGCTCATCTGCCGAACTTCTTCAACATCTTCAACACTTTTGCAGAAGGTACCCACTTCGTCCTCGATCTTTGAGGTCTGGTCGGTCTGGTCGGTCTGGTCTTCTCTCACACCATTCTCATGCTCTGGCTTGGCCTTGGCCTCCCTCCGGCCTCCAAAGATCTTCTTGATGAGCCATGCGAGAGCTCCACAGCCCGTGGACAAGACTGCACCCATCTTGGCCTGCCCCTGCATCTCCGGCTGGACAAAGGCCTCGTTGGCGACGAAGAGGGCGACGGTAAGGCCCACCCCACCCAGCGCTGCGGTGGCGACAAGGTCCACCATGCCCAGGCCCTTGGGCAAAGGAGCACCGATGCATGGCCCGAGCGCGCTCATGCCGGCGATGCCCACCGTCTTCCCTACAACAAGCGCCAGCCCAACGCAGGCGGTAATACCTCCAATTGAACCCAACTTGACGCCAGCATTGGCAAGGCCAAAGAAGAACATGCCGAAATCGACTGGGATCTTCAGCGTGTGTTCGAAAACATGTAGCGGCGCCTTCTCCTCTTTGCCGAATATGTTCTTCAAAATTCGCGAGGCCTCTCGCAGCGAAATGGACACCGATGATCGTTTTCGGACGATGGCGTCTTCATCATGTACCGTCACGGAGTTCTCGACGCGACCTAGGTCGTGGGGACCTGAGGCTTCAATGGCATGCGTTGCCGGCATGAAGGGCACCACGAAGACCAGCGACAGGGCTGGATGCACATGAGCTTTGAACAGCCCGATCCAGGATATGGGCGCAGCCAGGAAGATATAGAACTGCCATCGGCTCACCATGGCCTTGCGCAGCGCGAAGGCCACCAGCATTGCACCAAGCACTAGAAGCAACCAAACGGGCTCCACCGGCGCATCCGGGTCGGGATAGAAGGCTGCAATGATAATCATCCCCAGCGCATCATCCAATATGGCAAGCAACAGCAAAAAATTGATGGCGGCATGTCCTGGACCAAAGATCAAGAGGGCGAACATCCAGGCCAGCGAAATGTCCGTCGCAGTCGGAACCCCCCAGCCCTTGTAGATAGCTTCAAGGCCACACTTGGCTGTGTATGCACTTGCCGGCAGGCTGCCACCATCTCCAGCTAGTCTCCTGTGTTCACCATGTTCGTCGTGGTCGTCATGGTAATCATGGTAATCGTCTGGTAGGCACATGGGCTGGTCCAGAACACCTGCCGCTTGGAACACAGTTGCGAAGAGAAGGTAGAAAAGGGCTGGGCCCACAACACCCCCAAACGTAGCCAGCAAAGGGTTCAACGCACGCGAGATTGGCGATAGCGAACCTCCGGGCAGCAAGGCTTCAGTCACCTCCTTGATGGCAAGGCCAAAGAAGAAGCACATGAAGACATCATTCACCACGAAATGCAGGTCCACATTGTGGCCGTTGACTGCGAACCCCGGTATAGGCATCCAGTGGATCATCTGCTTGTAGCTTTGCTCATCCACATTGCTCCATAGCAGAGCGAGAAGCACACCCGAGACTAGAGGCACAGAGTACTTCTGCAAGATTCCGATTACGTAGTCCCATCTGGCCCTGCACTTGCCTGGAGGCAATTTTGGCTGGCTTGTGGGTGAGTGTTCCCCTTCGGAATCTGAGTCCACGCAGCGAGTCTTGATAAGTATGTCTGCACGCTTGTTCGTCATGGCAATTTTCTCCTTGCTTCCGGTGCGCAGGGAGGCCCCGCCCAGCGAGTGTAGAGCCAACTCCCTGTTGCCAATACTGGTCTTCCTCTGCCGTTTGCGGTTCTGGCCTACAACCTCGACCTCAGAGGCGAATGCCTCATGCCCACAGCCATGCAACCCCGATATTCCCCGAACTGTCGTGGAAGCCTTGTGCGTTTTCACGACCTCGATTTCACTGTGGTAGACAGCATCCGTCGCGTCCAAGCCATCTTCCGGATCAACGGCTCCGGGGAGTGCCATGTACTCTGCACTCTACTGGCCTGTGACCGATGTTTGCCTTATGCTGCAAGTGCTGTTGGGTTACCCGGCATTGCCCCGTGGCATAGCCGCATAGCATGGAAAGGATGCAGTTCGATGCTTTGTTCTGATGTTGGGGAATACTGCCATATGCTTTTGCCACTGCAGAACTTCAGAACTGCTGAGGCCTGAGCCGCGGCCAGTTGTTAAGGTTGGTTGTTTGGGGTGCCTTGTCTTAAACTCTATATCTTTCGGCAGTCTCAGGAAGAACACGGCGAGGACGCAATCATACACAGACGTAGCCAGTGATGGGCGCTAGTCCTACGCCGGGCCTGGCTCCCGCGCCGGAGGCGTTCAAGAAGACCCGTCCGGCAGGGGCTCGGCACCTGTGTGAGTTTCTCAAGACGCTTCAAAGCCGGCTGTTGGAGGTTCGGAGCTTCTTGGGCTAGCCGACTTTTGTACAGGAACGCCCCCAAGTCGCCATGCAATGTTGCACCCTCTTTCGTGTGCGGGCCCCGCCCTCAATCGGTCCGCAGATTTTATGTGCTTCTAATGGGGGAAGAGTTTATATGAACTGAAAAGGGTCCATATAGTTTAAAAGGGATGAATTTAGATGAATTTGCAGGGGACCCATATGACGTTTAAAAGGATGGATGAGCTTATGCGAATGCAAAGGGATCTTTAACACGTGGTCCATATAACCTTAAAGATGAGTTTGTATGAGTTATCAGAGGGCACGGGTGCCAGGACATTACCGAGGGTGCCAAAACAGTGCCCAGTACCGGAGATCGGGGTGCCTCCCGGACCACCCTCTTGCCCCGATCACGTCAAGCCCAAACAGGGGAGTGCTGTACAACAGACGATTCAGCAGTCTGAGTCCGCGCAGCAAGTTCTCGCCTACGCGCAGCGTGCATTCCGACACGGTAGATGCTTTCGCATGTCTCGCCTAGACTCGCACAGCCCTCCTAATGTGCTTTCGAAAGCCTTCACGACCCAGCACGTCTTCGAAGTACGAATTTCGCCAAAAAACATATCCCTCGCGCAATTTATGCGTCTTTGCTGCTTTCTTACGACGGACGCATCTTTGCCGAAGGCGCCTTCTCAATGAGTCTTCGGACTCGGGCTGGTTTGCACCCTCCGTCCCCATGCTGCAGCGTCAAAAGGAGTGATCAGCAACCTGGGATGTTCCCCCTGATGCTAACCGTCCTTACTAGGGAGTACAGGACCCTCGAAAGGGATTATGGAGTACAGTACCCTCGGATTGATAGGGGGTACTGTACTCCCTATTAAGGACGGTTAGTATAAGGGGGGCACAACCATCAAAGCCCAGCCTTGGCATCGCCTCGGCGTGGGCGGCTCTCGAACCTGGCATCCCAAAAACCGCCACCACTTTAGAAGCGTCAGCAAACCCCCCCAAACAATTGCAAACATCTTAAAGCCCTAGAAGCCCATGAAGCCCATAACATGCCCTAACTCAATCATTCAAATGGCCAACCTTTGCACCACCCCCTAGAAAAGCATCCGGAATAGCCTAAACGCCCAGTACCCTGAAGCCCTCCACCACAGGATGAAGAGAGCAATCCAGAAGCTCCCACAAGTTTCATTTGCACGGTTTAGGTTGGGGTCTCCTGGCATTCCCAAATCCCTGCCTGGGCACCGGCGGGCAGGTGCGCGATCTCTCCCTGGCTGCCTCCAAGGTGCCCAAATGTTCCCAAAGGATGCGGTTTAGAGTTGTGGGCACCTCAGACTGCACAGCTGCATAAGCGTCCCGACTATGGACTAACACATTGCCTCCGGGTGGGGGTTGGGAGCTCAGGTCTTCGAGGCATCCAGGGCCTGCTAACCATGTCGGGGGTTCTGAGACTTGGGTTTAGGGTGGTTTTTGCCAGACTCCAGGGGCGGCCTCCAGCCACTCTTTGGACACCTTCTGGTTCCCTGGTTTGGGGCTCAAAGCGGGTTGGGCTCAGAGCGGCCTGCAGCTCCCTCAGCGCGGGGCCAAGCTTGCCGACCTCCAGTGGCTTCGCCTTTCAAGAGTTCCGGCTCCCCCGAAAACTTGCAGGCAGCTCTTTTGCAGACCGAAGCCAGGCTGAACCCGTCGATAACATACAAGAAATGCGCGTCACGTCCCACCAGCTCCACCCAAGAGACAATGCTGCAATCCTTGCCACGGGCCACGACAGGCGTGTCGCAAGCCACAGGCAATCCTGAAAGAGCGACCTAGCTGCCCCCAAACACAGCTGACGGATCGACCCCAGGCTCGCCTGTAGCTTGTGAGGCGCCGGGGTGGGCTTGCCGCGGAACTCTGGGGCCTTTTCCTGCAAGGTGACTGGGTGCAGTTGCGGAATCCTTGGGAGGGCTGGAGGGGGAGGACCAAATCCTCGACCTCTTTCTTTGCAGGTTGCGGGCAAGGATTTCCGATGCTTAAGTTCTCGATTGAGCAGTAGAGGCAGGCCACCAATGGACTCAGACAATACCCTTCACTTGCTATACATGCCGAGACCAGCTCTTCCAAAACTCACCCCCCAAACTTCGCCTTTGCGAGGTTCTTCGTGCTCGTCGCAGCTCCCTTGGGGCTGCGGCTGCGCTTGGGCGACGATGCCTGACGGGCTCGGGGAGCTTCGTGGATTTCACTTGGTGAACCTCCAACCTTGAGTCAGGGATCGAAGCGTGGGCGGCAACTGGGATTTGGTCAACTTGGGACCTTCTCCTCACGGGTATGCGACATTTTGCATACACAGGAGCTTCATTCCAGAAGTGAAAAAATTTCTCCGCGGTCCCAAATGGCAGCGCCAGGGGATCCACATCGAAATCCATAAGGTGCAGCGGAAATGCTCGATGACCATGTGTGGAGCAGAGAAGTGCCGATGAGAACAAACAGGGGTAGTTCGAAGAGTGTCAAGGTTGGGTTCCTGGGGAAACTTTGAAAGAAGACAATCGCGACACATGCTTGACACTGCTACTGCGCTCTAACAGAGACAAAATGCAAAATGCGATATAGATGTGTATGTAAATAGCCGGTGCGCCAAGTATCTCGAAAGAGAGAAAGGTTCGAATCTTCAGCCACACAGGGGGCCTTGTCCTGGCCCTTGGTCTTCATGGGCACCGATGGCTTTGGTGATGCCTGCACTGATGGAGCTGGCCAAGATCTCAGTTCATGGAAGGAGTTTTGCTGTCACACAAGACAGACAGCTGGCCCTAGTTCCGTATCCTGAAACCCAAAATCCGGCACTTCCATGGTGGAGCAACATCATTCAGGGTCAGCAGCACACTCTAGGGTCAGGGTGGCCAGAATAACCGAAGTCTACAGGAAGAAGACCGACAGCTTCTCCCTGGCTCGTACACACCGAGGCCCACGAAGCCGAAAGCAGCATTCTTAAATCCTCTGCAACCCTTCTCAAAGACCCGTTCTCCAGCCTGACTGGGAAGTCCTCTACACCGCGTTTAGGGTTGGGGTTGACGGACCATGCATGGCTGCTGATCCTCCAAACTCTGGATTCCATCCGCGCCCAGCCAAACCCAACACCCCTCAATGAAGAGATGCACCGCAACTCCTAACAACAGCCTTCTGTTGAAGGTACATTCCCTAATTCAAGGGGAGGCTTTCGACCGCTGCCTTGTCGGGATCCTTGGCAGGCAGCTTCGGAACAGCCTTCCGTGTTCAAGCAGAGAGCTAAAGCCAGCTAAAGCCGTCAAAGCACTAGCAGCCCTCTCTAAGACGAGAGGCAGAGCCCGTCAGAAACACGCGAAATCCAAAATTCAGCACACCACACGCCCGGCCTTTCCCTTGTGGGTTGCCAGATCAGGCTTGGGATCGGCCTGCAACAGAAGAGCTGTTGCCCATGGGCATTTCCCCAAAATGGATACCCTTGATATACCCCCAAATAGTGTAATCCCTATTATAGGAACCCCCAAAAGAGTACCCCTACTTTCGGAATTCGGAGAAGGCACGCCAGCAGCTGTAAGGGAAGAATTTTGACAGAAGCAAGCGTGGACATTCCTATCCGTCAGACTCAGCCCCACAAAGGACTCTGAAACTACGCTTCCAGACCCTCGGCACATTCTCAACCCTAATTTAGACATCACAAATGAAAAGCAACAGCTACAGCGCAGTGCAGCTACTTGGAGCGCATCTGGGTCTGGGCTGTAGCAAAACCAAAGAGAGTCTGCATCGCGACCCAAGTGTTACCTATTCCTCGCGGCTCCGAGAAGGCACCCTGCCTTGTCCGGCTCTGCCTCCGCCGCTGTAGGGCCAACCGCATCGGAAGGAGCCTCTTCGCACATGCACCAAGAGCAGCGCTAGTGGTGCTTTGATACATTCCAAGGAGACATGCGAGCTCACGAAGCACATTTGCCAGCCTGGTTGCGTGCTCTTCGTCGAGAAGTACAGGCCTTGCATTTGTCAGGTCCAAGCCAACATCCCTGTCACATTCAACTGCCATTAGGTTGTGTTGCATCAGACGTGTTTACATGCGATGTCTCTGCTACGGCAGGCCTGCGCAGGCACCGCCTTCGGTGAGTCCCGTGGTGCCTGCAGGCAAAGGCGTGTGCAGCGCGGCTGCGCGGCGGCGCAGCAACTCACTCTACAGTGTCGGCCTCCTTGCGGACGTGCCCACGGCGCTCGGCAGAGGACGCCTGCGTCCCAACAGATCAACCCAACTACGCTGGCCACTCAAAAGACCTTAATTGGAAAGTGCCTTGTCGGCCTCCACGTTGGCCACAGCACCGGCAAGTGGCTTGGTCGGGGCCTGCTCATTTCTCTCAGAGATTCTTTCCTTCTGTCCCCATTGCCAGAAGCTGATCCTGTATGCATGCTTTGAGGATCCTGGAATATGGAGGTCATGTAAGTGGCTTTCGCGTGCTTGCCGGCCTGGGTGCGACCCCTTCGCGCGGAGGATGGAGCCTGCATTATCAGAATCGACATCTGCCACGCACCATGACCCCACTCCAGCTTCATGCCGAAGGTGCTCAGCACAAGTACTGTCCTTACCCGGCGCCAGGCCTGCGCCTCATCGACAGCAGGCGCCGGCTTCGGCGAGTCACGTGGTGCCTGCAGGCAAAGGCGTGTGCAGCGCGGCTGTGCGGCGGCGCAGCAACTCACTCTACAGTGTCGGCCTCCTTGCGGACGTGCCCACGGCGCTCGGCAGAGGACGCCTGCGCCCCAACAGATCAACCCAACTACGCTGGCCACTCAAAAGACCTTAATTGGAAAGTGCCTTGTCGGCCTCCACGTTGGCCACGGCACCGGCAAGTGGCTTGGTCGGGGCCTGCTCATTTCTCTCAGAGATTCTTTCCTTCTGTCCCCATTGCCAGAAGCTGATCCTGTATGCATGCTTTGAGGATCCTGGAATATGGAGGTCATGTAAGTGGCTTTCGCGTGCTTGCCGGCCTGGGTGCGACCCCTTCGCGCGGAGGATGGAGCCTGCATTATCAGAATCGACATCTGCCACGCACCATGACCCCACTCCAGCTTCATGCCGAAGGTGCTCAGCACAAGTACTGTCCTTACCCGGCGCCAGGCCTGCGCCTCATCGACAGCAGGCGCCGGCTTCGGCGAGTCACGTGGTGCCTGCAGGCAAAGGCGTGTGCAGCGCGGCTGCGCGGCGGCGCAGCAACTCACTCTACAGTGTCGGCCTCCTTGCGGACGTGCCCACGGCGCTCGGCAGAGGACGCCTGCGCCCCAACAGATCAACCCAACTACGCTGGCCACGCAAAAGACCTTAATTGGAAAGTGCCTTGTCGGCCTCCACGTTGGCCACGGCACCGGCAAGTGGCTTGGTCGGGGCCTGCTCATTTCTCTCAGAGATTCTTTGCCTCTGTCCCCATTGCCACAAGCTGATCCTGCATGCATGTTTTGAAGATCCTGGAATATGCAGGTCATGTGAGTGGCTTTCGCGTGCTTGCCGGCCTGAGTGCGACCCCTTCGCGCGGAGGATGGAGCCTGCATTATCAGAATCGACATCTGCCACGCACCATGACCCCACTCCAGCTTCATGCCGAAGGTGCTCAGCACAAGTACTGTCCTTACCCGGCGCCAGGCCTGCGCCTCATCGACAGCAGGCGCCGGCTTCGGCGAGTCACGTGGTGCCTGCAGGCAAAGGCGTGTGCAGCGCGGCTGCGCGGCGGCGCAGCAACTCACTCTCAGTGTCGGCCTCCTTGCGGACGTGCCCACGGCGCTCGGCAGAGGACGCCTGCGCCCCAACAGATCAACCCAACTACGCTGGCCACTCAAAAGACCTTAATTGGAAAGTGCCTTGTCGGCCTCCACGTTGGCCACGGCACCGGCAAGTGGCTTGGTCGTGGCCTGCTCATTTATCTCAGAATCCGGCTGCGCGGCTGTGCGGCTGCACTCAGCAGTGTCGGCCTCCTTGCAGACGTGCCCACGGCGCTCGGTAGAGGCCGCCTGCGTTGACCGGCTCTGAGTTCTGAAGTCTGAACATGAGCCCCATACTCCCCTGAAAGAATGACTCGGTCCAACATGCTCAGCCGCCGTACTCTCGAACAAAGGCAGGCAGCACCATCTCCAGTCCCAAAGAACGATCCCCCCCCCCCCCCGCGCCCGCGGCCCGAAAGATCCCAAACCCCCAGAGAAGCATCCCTTCGACCCTCGAACCCAAAAAGGCCTTGTCCAGGCTGACAGCCAATGACCTGGGGATCGGCGAAGCCTGCGGCGCTCAAGGATGCTCACGGAGTCGTAGGGCTTCTAGGGCTGAGGGCTTTGTCTGCGCAGTTGCGGGCCTGGGTTTTGGAGCGCTCTGTTGGGCTGCTAAGGGTCCGATTGCAACTGCAAAAATCAACTCGGCCGTTGGTAGTCACCTCAGAAAAAGAAAAAAGACACGCTGCTCACATGTGGGGGCCCTCGAACTTGCCCGAACACACGCCCCGAGCCACTGCGCCTTCTCCTTCGCGCGCGGGCTCCGACCGCGGCGCTCCGAAAGGGGGGCCTGGTACCGTCAACCCATGGGGGGGTGCCATGGGCGTGCGGAAATCAGAAGTTCCTAGCCCTTGAAAGCAGAACACCCTAAACCCGAGCCCCTCTAAGCATCTCCTTAGGAAACCCGAAGCTCTAAGCATCTCCTTAGGAACCCCAAAGCACGGATCGTAAGACGCCTTGTCGGATTTGTCCAGATCGGTCTTGGCTGATGGCTTCGGTGAGGCCTCGCGCATGGTGGGGGAAGATGCTGTGGGACACTACGATGAAAACTACGAGAAAGCAGATGTCCCCCCTTTCCCCATCTCGCAGTGGGGCCGCGCTGCCCACATCCTGCAAACCTGAAACCCCAGCCCTGGCCCTCCGGAGTCCACGCCTTTCGGCTCTGATTCCGGCCCCTGGATGATGCCTGCACGAAAAAACTCTTAAGGGAGGAGGCTCTGGAGGCGCCGGGAACCTCCACAGCAGCCTAAACTCTAACGGAACCAACCCTAAACCCGGCAGCGGGCAAGGAAGGGCTTCTGAAGCGCACCTGCTTTGGCGTGCTGGTGGCCCTGGGTGAAGCCTGGCTACACGATTGGCACGCTCCAAACCACAAATCCAACCACTCCCGGAGGGGCCGGGGGCGATGTTTGAGCAGCCATTTCAGGTCGTCCTGGAACTCTCTGAACGTTGGCTCCGGGGTCCCTGCCGTGCGCAGGGGCTTCTGCGTCTTGCCGAGCTGCGCCTCAGGGAAAGGTGGCCTTCTGCCCCTGCTCTCGGGGCATTTGCTGGGGGGTTTGGGGGCTTGGGCCTGTGGGGTTCAGCCATTACGTTGCCTCAGCCCGCTGGAGCTTTGATTATTGTTCCCGGCAAGGGGCCATCTGAGCGGTTTTTGCACAACCAAGAAAACGTGATACTTAGACCCTCCGAAACCCTCCCGGCCTGGCCCTTTGCGCAGATCGCACCCAGACTCGGCTTCTGGTCGAAGACCCAGCCTCCAATGACTGCCATCAGGGAACGTGCACGCGATGATGAACATTGACGAGTTCTGGACATGATTCGGGAAAAAATGAAAGAAGCCAAAGGGGTTGAGCGTCCATGCATCATGTTTATCCTTCTCTGCGAGCTATGGAGCCTTATGATGGGCCCAGAGCTGGCAACGCCCATACAAAACGGTAGGACGGGCTTGACAAGGGAGGTTAAGAGGCACCTCAAAGGGACACCCTGATGTGCAACAGCCCGCCACACGGAGACAAGCAGCCTCGGCCATCTGCCAACTTCCTAGGTTCAGGGTCGGCTTGGGGGGAGGAGGTAAAGCGTCGCGTTCGTGATGCAGCGCACTGCTTGTTGGGGGAATCCCGGCGTTTCGGGCAGAGATGCAAGGCGAAACTGGAGTAACTAATGACTTCTTGTAGAATGACGCAGCCGGTCTGGAAGACATTCTCATGAGGACTCTCGTGTTGCCCGTGGGTTTCAAGGTTCTGCGAGCATGTCCTCGCCAGCTCCTCAGGAGCTGGACCCGAAGCCGGTCTCAACGCCTCAAACCCAACAGCCAAGAGCCAACGCGTGCCTTAGTTCGGGGGTCCCTTGTGGGGGGTCCTGTTCATAAAGCGTTCTCTCGTGTGCCAAAAAACCCTGCTTTACAAAACGCCCGCGCGCACCAAGAATCTAAGGCACACTGCCACACCGCGTGGACTTGAGTAGTAGTGCGGCCGAGCTTCAAGTACAGAATCCCGTCCTTGCCCCTCTCTTCCAGCTCCACGCCGAACCTCTGAGACTGCTGCCGCATTCAGTGATCGCCGGAACTTGCATCCGAGGTGAGATTCGTGAGGTTCTTTGAAAGCTCTCGAGACCCAACCCCCGTGGAACCTTGAACCAACCTCCTCAACCCACCTCTTCAGCACCCAAACTGACAATGCCCAGTCCCGCCGCCTCCCCCCCTGGGGCACCGCACTCCTGGCCGGCCTCCAATCCATACATGGTCCGGGGCCTGATTCATGCAGCTGCAACGTGCCGCTACTACAGTACTTCGCGTATGTTTTCAAAAGATGCCACTGCAAACAGAGCTCACAAGGGTGGCCTTCTCGAAGACGTCAGGACCATCCGCTTTTTCGAACAGCTAACCCTTTGGGCATTTCAGCCTTGGTCTGCAGGCCCCAATGTTGCTGCAGGCAAGGGACGCCGTTACGGAGGGAAACTCGCGGATGTCCACACCGTGCTCGTACCTGCGCATTTGCTTGGCAAGGGATCAGCTCGATGTGCGGGTGACGTCTTTATGCCAGAAAGCCAGGAAATGCTGCATTTGTCGAGGGTTGCTGATGCTGGCACTCCAAGATGAAAGGCGGGGCACACACAATGCCAGATCTGCACCTGAACGCGGTTGAAGCTGAGCTCAGAGGGTGGACAAAAAACAAGAGAGCTTGTCTCCTAGGCGAAGGAGGTGGAAGCCCCCAGAAATGTGCAGAAGGTAAGGTTGGTCCTTTCAACTGCCATGAGCGTCGCTACGGTCACGTCTTACCCGATTGTGGGATGCAGGGTGGCAGCCTTTGTTTCACAAACATGCAAAGGGACACTTGAGGGCCGGAGGCAGGGAGGACGAAAGCTCGGGGGCCGGAAGCAAGAGCAAAGTTGCAAGAGAAAGTGCGGGCAGGGCCCAGTTGGAGGCATGCTTGAGGGGCCAGCGTCTTCTTTTCAGCCGTCGCAGTGTTGGGTAGATACTAGCTTCTTGCAATCAACTAACTTGTTGCAATCAACACATCACTAGTGGGCGGCGACGCATGTTGTGCTGGGAGCCTGACTCACGCGCTGCGGTCAACACGCGACGGAGTCAGGTCTTGACGTAAAAACGCCTCCCCTTAAGGTATTGATATATCAATTTACCCCCCCACCCCCCCCCCCTCCAAAACCAGGGAATTCGTGTGATGTATCAATTTACCCCCCCCCCCCCTCCCCCCCCTCCAAAACCAAGGAATTCGTGTGATATATCAATTTACACCCACCCCCCCCCCCCCCCCCCCCCCCCCCCCCCCCCCCCCTAATAAGATAGTATCAATAATACGCTGTTTTCTGGCCGTGGTCGGCCCCCTGCTGCTAAAGCAGATAAAACTCCAGCTTCGCTACGCGAGCTTTCGTGATAAGATGGACCCCCGAATCACCCCTCCCCAAGAGAAACCCCGGAACAGCCTTGGACTTCCGCTGCCGCTTGCGGTTTTGCGAAGTGCACTCCTGCCAGTGCGTCGACAGCATTTGGAGTGTTGGAGGAGAAATCATCAGTATACTTGAATCACGTGAAGCTGAACGACTCTCGCCTCCATGTGCTGGGCGGACGAGACCGGTGTGCCTTAACACACGGCTTCTGGGGTTTCTACTGGATTCTACTGCTTCCCCACTCAGGTCGTGGAGGAGACCGACCACAGCTTCAGGGTGGCCTTTTCGGTCGAAAGCCTGAAACCTCGGGCCTTTTTGCTTCATTGACCTCAACTCCGAGATGTGCGGCTGGGCAAAAGGTCCGGGATCTGAGAGGTTAGCATGTTTTTGGGGGAAATCGAGCTGTCAAGAAGATGAACCAAGGATGAGGAGGATGAGCATCAGCTTACGCTTAAAAACCCCTGGAACCCTTCCCGGGAGCTTGGCGCAAGTCCTGGCCGCACATTGCACAAAAGTGCGAGTCAGACCTGCAGCTGCGGTCTTCCCCCTGGTTCTTAGTAGGGAATTCATGCCCTATATATACCCATAGGGTACCTCATTCCCGCATTCCCTACGAAGAGCCAGTCTTGCAGGATCAGGCCTGTGGGGTCTGTTGTGGGATTGCTTCTGCGCGGGCCTGCCTTAATAAAGCTGAACAACCCCCAATATGCTCCGATCCCAGGGCTTTAGGGTTTAGGGTTTAGGGTTTAGGGTTTAGGGTTTAGGGTTTAGGGTTTAGGGTTTAGGGTTTAGGGTTTAGGGTTTAGGGCAACATGACATTTCTGGCTTTCTGCCTAACCGCGGCTGCCAGGGCCCCGGAGCATAGTCACAGGGTCGTAGGCCGTAGGCAGATTGTTACTGTAGGAGCCTTTGTGATTTGACTATGCTTCTTGGCAGGTTGCCCTACCTATCTGTCTACAGAAAGCAGCAGAGAATAGTGCCCCGACACACTCATACAGAAATTTGCTGCGGTCTTGATATGACGACTACAGAAACCTGGAAATCGGAACTGGGCCTTAGTGCACTAATTCCTGAACAGGACAGCCGCCACGCAAGCAAGAAGCGCGCAGAAGACCAACAACAAAGGAGCCAAAAACCGCGGGCGATTTTCAGGCGCGAGTTTGAGCGCAGGGCGCCCCGGCTTTCGGCCAAAGCACTGCCACCACCAAGGCATCTTGTACAGAACGCAAGGTGGTTGCAAGCAGCAATGCTTCGCTCTGGCAGAAAGATGGGCGCCGAGCGGTACAGTCTGGAGAGGTGGGCTTTCCAATCACTGCTGGTCCGACTCTCCCCTGCGCGGCTGCAGCAAGCTGCGAAGCTGCCCTTGCTGGCAAGCAGCTGGTAGCTTGAAGTTAAATGCGGCGAAATCTGGTAGCAGCAGCCAGCACAGTGCCCGCAAATACTTTGAACGGTCCTGCTGCAGGGCCGCAACTAGTGCACGCATGTCAGCGGTAGCTTCCACAAGCATCAACTCCGAGCTCGTATTTGTGGCCACGTCCCCACTGCTGTCGGTCGCGCGATCTGATTCCAAGCCCAGGCTAATCTCCATGGCAACTTTGTCCGCCTGATCATTCGGGTGTAAGCCTAGGTGCTCATCGAAGGGTGCAGAAAGGCTGCATTCCTGCAATCGAAACATCCTCGTCCAGTCTTCTTCCATGCTGTTCGTCTTGCCAATGAAATTCATTGGTACTGAACATCCACCATTTGGAAGCAGGAACTCCAACTGAGGCTTGACATGGCCATCAAGGTTAATACCCGTCCGCAAGAACTCCTTAAAGAACGCTGCGGCTCGCTCCGGCGAGCCGACGGGATGCTGGCTCAAAGTGGTCGCGAGGTCTGCATACTGCGTAACTCCGTCGCGCGTTCGGTGCTCAATCTCGGCGTAGCCAGAGATGAAGCGTGAGATTGGATCTCGAACAAAGGTGAAAGCCGCGTGTTCCCTGTCGTCCAAAGAGTTGAAATTTTGACAAAATTCAGAATACGACATACCATCTTGCCTGAAATGAGTGGTGACCTGCTCTAGATTCTCGAAAACACTGTGGCCAGCTGACTTCCAGATATGGCGATAATACATTGTTTTGTTCTGCGAGCAGCTGATCTCGCCCATCGCCTGCTCGCTATCCATTCCTGAAGGCAGCCAGGCTGCCCCGGACCAGTTCGCCTCCTCTTGCACATACGGCCAGAGTTGAGTCCGCAAGTCAGTTAGAATCGAAAGGCATGCCTCAGAGGACTGTGGGCATTCCTCGCCTGCCTGTCGTAGCAGCGACTCCAACTGCACTTCATCTGAAGATGACGCCTCCAGTGCGCTCGTGCTGACATCGTCGGCGTCTGTCCCCACAACGAGGTGCTGTTGCAATAAGGATACTTGGCCACCAAAGTCTTCAATCAGGCGCTCTGCCTGCAAAGCGTGCAGCACCATCAGGGTGAGCATCCATGAAAATGCCATCTTGGAAGGGGAACAACAAGAAGAAGATGTAAAACGGTTCAGTTTCCAAGCCACGGGCCAGTAGTGGCTGCGGACTCTGAAGCGGAAGCAAGCCACTGGAGATCAAAGGCGGTTTGAGGCTGCGGGGCTGTGAAAAGCTTGGAGAGGTTGAGGCTTTAGGGCTTGAGATGGTTCAGGGTCTTGGATACTTTGCAGCCAGCCCGGCCCACTACCCCGACACATGAGCCCCCGGCACACAGGGACGACCACAATGGTGGCAGAAGTTTCGTGATGCCTGGGAGATGCTTGCAAAGGTCGCAAGGAGAAATCTCCGACAAAGAGACAACCAAGGATGCATCTTTCATCTTTCTCACACGCAGACAGACAGGCAGGCAGACAGACAGACAGACACACGCAACCACAGCGTCAATACGCGCAAGATACCTGTCCAAAAGAACCGTCTCCTGATCCCGGCATGCGGACAATCCTAGAGTCCTTGGACATGTCACATCACTCGTCCTTCCATCGCTCAGGTGCCCTCTTCGGCACACCAAGCCCCCGAACTGCCCTATCCTCCTCAACTAAGCCGTGCCGTGGTTCTCGTGTTCTCGAGGCATCGGCGTTTGCCATGGCCACTGAGAGCAAGTTGGTGCCCTTCTGTGGAGTGGAAACCTGTGGGGGAGGGCGAAGGGGGGGGGGGGGGGGCGGTGGTCTTGAAGGCCTCTGGAGTATGCATTGCGCTTTATGGCAGGTGGGGAAGCAGGTGCTGGGACTAGGGCTTGCTAGATAAGATAGCACGAGCATCATGCGGTGCAGGATCCTTACAAGCATCTGTTTTAAATCCAGCCGCAGCGTCTGCACACGAGTCTATGTTGCTCGGAACGCGGCTCTAGCACACTTTGGCCGGCCAAGCCTGTTGCGGTCCTCCGGGCAAGAGCCAATGACATACGGGGTAGGGCGACCGGTGTGGATACATCGGCATGACGCCGCCTCTGGCCCAGAGGCTACGTGGTGGTGAAACGGCCCTGCAACAACCGATGCCAATCTAGGCTGCAGCGAAAGCATATGCTTGGAGGTCAAGGCAGCAAGACGGAGCACTTGAAACTGATTTGGCACATCGGTGTCGCACGGTGACCTGGGCCAGCAATGGCCGCGAACGTGTAACCATACATTCGCCACTTCCTGACCCTCCAGGCCACCCCTGAAAGGCTGCAAAGACGATGCTAGGTAGGCATTCCTTGAAGGGTTTTTCATGCTCTGATGATGCGAGGGGCTCGAAGGATGCTTGGGGAGATCCTTGGATTGTGCTTACATTGGGCTTACAGGGTATCCGGTTCAGCTCCGAAGTCTCGAGGTTGTCTTGGGATGTCTCCGGGTGCGCCGAGCCCTTCGGAGAGGCCCAGAGAGTTCAGGCGGCCGCGGCTTCTGCGCCCATCTGGGGCACCGCCTGTTCACGACAAAAATCACTCAACATCTCGTTTTCGGGGTCTGGTGGCAGGATCTTTCCCAACAACCTTTGACAGTCCCAACACCCTTGGATGCCACCTTCGTGAACCATCCAAAGTGACTCCATTCGTAACCCTGTTGCCAGCCTCGGTCGGCACATGCCCATTCAGGCCTGCACGGGGCCACTGTCGCGGACGGACACACACACACACACACACACACACACACACACCCACACCCACACCCACACCCACACCCACACCCACACACACACACACACACACACACACACACACACACACACACACACACACACACACACACACATTTTCACACATTTTTACCTCGTTGGGCTGCGGGCGTCAGACCTGCCCAGAGCCCGCTCGCATCTGGTCGCAGCTGATATCCATGCTACAAAGCCTGATGCCTATGCTCGGCTATCGCATGTTGCATGTTGCTTGGGCGTTGGGCGCTCGGCCTTGCAGATCCCTACCGACGGCAACCGCAGAGACACGGGAAGCCCAGTTGGAGACCCCCTGATAAAACCTTCAATTTCAATAGGGTTCTCTAGATATTCGGCCTGGGCCGGGGCCGTCGATGCGCAGCATCCACAGACATGTTATGACATGTTCATGAGACAGATTGTTGGCCGCTTGTGTTGAGGTGGCAATGAGGAGGGTGTCATCGGCACAATGCACTTTCTCGAAGTGCATGCCGTCAAACCTCGCCAATCCGCCACCATGCTTTGATCAAAGGGAAAGGAGGGGCGACGTGGGCGATCGTGGGCGTGGGTTCTCTCGACCTGGAGGTCCGGGGTGCGCAGTCTGCGGAAGCATGCCTGTGGAACGAGCACCACGAGTATTTCGAGTACTGTACCACGAGTACCATGCACAGGACCCAGAATGCAGCCAATCAATCCACATAAACTCAACTGAGCCTGCTTCGAGTATTGAACGTCGGCTGTCATGAGACGACATGCAGGATTCGTACATCTTCGCACTCACAAGGCTTTCTAGTTCATGCCAAGCGGGCCGACAGGCCTGACAGGCCTCCACCGCTAAAGTCGCTTGCCGGAGGTGGTGCCATACCCAGGCCTTTGCAGAGAGAGCTTATCTGTAGTTCTCCCGGTACAATGGCTGGCACGGAGAGCTTTGCAGTTCCCTAGGTTCTGCAACATTGGCTCATTAAAGAGCATATAGGGCACAAGACGTCATATGCCACGTAAGCTTCCAGGCCCCAGGCCAGCTTCGTTGCCCAGGCCGGCTGGGGGCGCTTCTGCGCTGAAGCCTGGAGGTCTTCAGACTTTCAGGCTCTGAAGCTCAGGCTGAGCATGCTCATCGTCGTGATCGTCGTGGCACTGACCTTGAGCACTGATTCAGGCCTTCTTGCCCAAAGCCTCCGGCCATATGGCCTTGCCCGTGGCCTGCAGGATACAAGGACTGCCCGCAAACTGCTGCAGGCTTGCAAACTTGCCTACATCCAAGAGCGGTCTGAATTCTGAGATATCGAGAGAAGAGCTTCAAGCGAAAAAAGCAGCCCCCGCCTAGATCGGCATTCATCGCTAGCCCAGCCGGCGCGACGCCCGCAATGGCTGGGGCCTGGATGAAACAGATGCTGTGCACAGGCTCTTGACAAGGGGGAGGGGGGGTTGAGATTGGGAGTCTTACTGATTGCAAGGCGTACGCTAAACTCACAAGAACCCAGAATCCCAACTTCGAGCTCCCCTCGAGCTCCACAACTCCAACACTAATCCCTGCCTACACACACATCCTACATCCCTTGTGAAACAAGCCCTGAACCCCGAACAATGCCTAAACCCAAATGTCGCTTGTGTCCGTTCGCCGTGGTCTTTTACACCCCAACACCCGTACTGGCCTGCTCGGCCTGCGCGAGGTTTGGGTCAAAGCCTGCGGAGCTCTCGCGCCCAAGAAAAACCACAAGACAAACCGTTTGTGTGTGGGGAGTAATTATAAGCATGTACTTGCATTTCGAGTAAGCACTCCACGCAGCTGCCTTGGGCTCCTGGTGACAGCCACACATCTCAAGCATCACCTGGCCTCCCTGGCCTCCTGCATGCATGCCGGCCATTCCGGGCATTCCGGCCATTCCGGGCATTCCGGCCATTCCGGCCATGCCGGCCATGCCGGACATGCCGGGCATGCCAGGCATGCCGCCCATGTCAGCCTGCATGACACTCGGGAGAAGCTGAAGTTCATCCACTAGAGCCGAATCACCGGTGACCACTCATTTCGGTCACTTGCGGCTTCTCGAGGTGGTAGCTCATAACTTCTTGCTTTGGTCCCTTACGACTTGTTTTGACTTTTGGATCGCCAAGCTCCCCCCTCCTGTTTATCCATGTCCCTGTATCCACTCCCCATCTCCCGTTGTAAGGTTTAAGGGTGGTTTCGGGCCATCTCCTTTCAGAACTCAGGCATCTTCCCTGGCTTCTTCCTCCCCCCCACCCCCGTTTTCTTCTGGCGGCGCTTGCAGCTTTTTGCCCGGCACCGGGTTGTTGTGCTTAAGTTCACTGTGCTTGCCACGACCTCCGAGTGCTAACTCAAGCTTTGCTCTGACTTCTGCCCCACGGCCCGAAACCCGAAATGCCCAGAATTCACAAGCGGACAAGCTGTCCTGCTGGGCCATGCCGAAATCGACTTGCGGAGGGTGGAGCGTCTTGCCATTCATCTCCTGGGCAAACATGATGTGGTCTGGACAGCTCCCGACAGTTCTGTAGGCTGCTTTACTTTATAAGTCTACATATAACCTACTTAGGGGACTTAGGGGGGGCTTATCAAGTACAGTTCTCATTGGGGTTCTAAGTACCCTGAACCTCCGAGTAGCCTCGGTTTCTGGAAAGTCGCTGAGACCCCTCAGACCCCGGCCGTGATCGCGGCTTGGGCGAGGCCGGCGTCGGCCATGGTAATGAAGCCCCACCTAAGAGGGGTTTGGGGTTTGGGGTTTGGGGTTTGGGGTTTGGGGTTTGGGGTTTGGGGTTTGGGGTTTAGGGTTTAGGGTTTAGGGTTTAGGGAGGAGCTTGGGCTAAAAGGCTGCTTAAGAGCTGCTTTGCTGTGTCTCAAACGAACCTGCGGTCGAAAGCATCACTTTCCTCTTGAACGCGAGGCAAGAGCTTGCGCGCACGTTGGAGATGTGAGACAGTGGGAGTCTGACATGTTCATCCTATCTCGTTTGTCTCTCTTTGTCAAGGTGGCTATCAGAGTCTCCTTCCTGTCGACTTCGGCTCCCACTCTCTACCCATCTCAGCGCGACAAGCCGGACATTAACATCTCAGGCGATAACGCCTTTGACTACAGGAGTCGGAAGTTGAAGTTTGTGCTGAGCCCTGAACCCCTTGAAACCCATTGAAACCCACAGCCCTCTCAAACAGCCTCCATCCCCAGCCACGCTGAATCCGAAAGAACTCCCTTCCATTCCCTTCCCAGATCATCCTACATCCTACGCTCCTACAGCTAGCTCCTCAGGCGGTGCTGTTGTCCGCATCGCAGCCAAACGTTGGGGGCGCGAGCTCCCCGTCCATACACGTGATCTCGGCCACGTCGGCCTGGGATGCACTTGGGACCTCTTGAAGGGCCTTCTTGGAGGCTTGGGGGCACATCGGTTCCGGGTGATTTGGGCCCACTTGCAGCTCACCCTCACGTGTCCGTGCAGCGCAGGCGCCGTGAAGCCGGGCAGGCAGGCAGGGGTGCAGTTGTATCCATGTTGGATGAGGTCCCCCTCCTCGCAGGTGATGTTGGCCTCGGTCTCAGGACTCTGGGACTCCTGGTCACTCTCATGGTCTCTTTTTTTGCGTTTAGGGGGGGGGGGGGGGGAGGGAGGCTTCAGGCTTGGGGGGCCCCATTCTTGCCGCAAGGTCATATTAAGGTTTTGCTGGAGCCTGTGTGTGACTTACAAGGGCCCCCCCTTTCTTGGCCGCGCTGCCGAGTTGTCGATGTAGCTCCCAGTTGGGGAATAGCAGGGAACATCGACTTGGATCTGCCCGGTGGAGGTTTTCCGATCCTGAGCGGGCGAGCCAAACGAAGCCTGAGAAGCGGCCTTCTCTTCTTCATGGGGGCACGGTACACAACTAGAAGGAACACCAAAGAAAAGGGGGGGGATCGATTTAGTTTCTCCGATTTTATCACAGGCTTTTTTCGAAACCCCCCACCCCCCACTTCAAAAAATAGGGTTCTGAAAGCTCTTCCACGCATCCAACGGCACGATGCTGAGCCCAACGTTGCGGTCGTTGACCTCGTGCAGGATGACCCAGTCGATGTTGTTGGGGGAGCCTGGGCTAAAGTCTCGCAAAGGTTGCAGGGGCCGCTCTTGAGGTTCAAAGGAGGTACTGGAAGGGTTCTAGGTTGGGATGTTCCCCCTTTATACCAGCAGTCCCTAATAAGGTTTACAATAGGGGGTACTAGAATCCCGATTAAGGACTGCTCGTGCAAGGAGGAACATCCCAAATTCTAGGGCTCAAAGCCGACTGCAACGACACGACTGCTGAAAAAGGTGACCGATACTGTGGAGCTCAAGATCTTGAAACCCTACCACATGAGCTTTGCGTGTGTGTGTGTGTGTGTGGGTGGGGGGCTGTGGAAGGGACGAAAGATACTGGGCGATACTGGCTCCACAGTCGCCCTGCCTAACCTTCTTCCTGACTCATTGAACTGGGCACTCGCTAAAGGTTGCATGCACGATCCCCTCCCCCTAGTCTGACATCAGACGAGGTGCACGAGCCTTTCTCAGGCTGTCAACCCCTAAACCCTAAACAAGGGAGCCACATACCAATCTGCTGGTGCTGCGACTTGCATGGGGGCCGAGTCAAAAACACGAATCTGAACACGGCCCGGGCGAGTCTGCAAACGCAGCACGCCAGAAAACCCGAAGTGGCGAGTCGAAAAAACTCACAGAAGAATTTCTGGTGGGTTCTGAGATTTCGGGTTTTCTTTCCACTCTTGGCCAAGTCAGAGAGCGGGGGCGCGAGAGTCGGAAAAAAACACACACGCGCGTGCGCGCGCACACGCACACACACGCACCTCTGAGTCAGAACTCTAGGAGGAACGAGTCGGAACATGGAAAGAGGCGAGTCAGAAAAACCGCAGATGACAACAGGCTGGTTAGGCTTTATAGGGATCAGGTCTTTTGGGGCTCAGGGTTTTTAAGGTCTGGGGCGAGGGCTTTTAGGTTGTTAGGGTTTACGGATGTTAGGGCGTAGGGTTTTTAGGGTCACGGTTTTAGGATTTGGGGTTTTAAGTGTTTAGGACGATCCTTAGGGTGTTAAGTGTTGTAGGGTTTTTGGGGGTTTGGATTCTCTTTGGTTTAAAATTTAATCCATGGTTGGGCCGGCCCAAATAAACCCTTCTGGATGCTACGCTTCCCATCGTACTGCCCATGACATACGCAGTGTCTCCCCCCCGCCCTCGTCACCCGCAACCAAGGTGCCCCAGAGCTGCCACCGGATCGGATCTCGCTGCGACTCGTCGTTGCCAGTCACGAAGCTGTAGCTGAATGCTGGCTGAGCGACCGGCAGCCTGACAGCTCCGGGGTCCATTGGAAAGATAGGGCGCTTCAAAGCTTGGTGGCTGTGAAAGTCTGGAGATGTCTGGAGAAATAGTGCTTCAGGGTTTAAGTTAAAACGTTGTACATAAGGACTGAAGGACCCAATCATGATGCTTTTGTCGTGAAAAGCATCTTATGCCCTGACGCGTCATCTTAAAATTGACATCCTGGGCGTGAGGGGTCTCAGGCCAGGCCTCACGAAGAAAGGATTGCTGGTGTAATCCAACCACTTCGTTTCCGGGTTCCTGTCGCCGAGGTTTGTGGGCTCCTAGCCAGCAAGAAGAGGAGTTGACCCAGTGTTGTCTTCGATTTGGGCTCATCCTAAAGTTCCACTGGTTTCCACGAGACTTCACGGTCCTCCCGCAGGTTCACGGGCGTGTCGCAGGGATCGCAGTAGAAGACCCTGGTCAGATTTGCATTCAACGCATTCTACGCTCTGCAACTCTACCCTGCAACTCTTAACCCCAAACCCATGGGCCAGATGTCGCACCATGAGAGACAAAGGAGCCCTCCACGGGGGCTCGCAACTCTCAAGCCATGAGCTTGGCTCGACAGCGAATGTAAGGCCTTCGGCCTTCGGACCCACTCTGAGCATGTGGTGTTGGACGTCCGTATAAGCCCCAAAACACCCAGAACATGGACCAAATGCAGGCCAGGCAACGCCGAGTCGTAGTTTGCCACTTCCACCTGAGGCGCTGCTGGTCCTACCTTCTGACATGCATGAAAGTGCTATCCTCCAACATCCTCCAACCGGGCAACAAAGCGCAACGAACATGGCTCGACCCGCACGACCTCACAGTCCGCCCACGCGCACGTGAGCATCCCCCAGCTTTAGTAACCGGGACGCTGGCATGCACTGGACCTTACCCTCTTCAACTCATAACTCATCCCACGGACTGTCCATGCTGCACAACCCTTTCAAAAACCCTGTCTGCCTGCTGGTTGTACAGATAGAAGTCCGACATCTGCACCACCTCGAGATTACTCCGACACTACCGAACTGGAACAGTCTAGCTGTCCAGCATCGACTCTGATGCACTTCTGGGTCCAAAAACCTCTTCCTACAATATCCACTTCCGTACGACTGCAAGCCTCAGCCGTGGCTGGACTTTCGGATGAATGTTGACTCTAGGTTCGACAATGACCAAAGCCCAAGCGGATCATCGTCGAGGTCTTGTTTCCTTGAAGGACTGTGTTCGATTGGCCGACCGTTTGCACAGAGGGCAGTTCGTGCATGAGCACCTCCATGCTTATCCGAATGAATCCGGCGCTCTTGGGCTGGCACAGAGGGCACCTTGCAGCCAGGGGCTACGTTCAGGGCTGGCTGCTCGCTCACCCATGGGTACTTACCGATGGTGGCCCCGAGTGGCGCGACCGCCTGGACGAGCTACGGAAAGTCTGGAAAGGGCGCTGGGCTTGCGTCTGTCGCGGTCGTTGAGACAACATGCGCACAGCGGACACTTCGGTTGCTCGGCGTCGGGGCCTTCATCGATGCCTGTGCACTGACGTCTTGGAGTTGTGATCCCGCCTCACCCCCAGTGCTTGCGACGGTGACAAGTGCATCGAAGACTCCAGTGCCCTTATGGTTTCGTCAAGGTTGTTGCATGCTTCGCTTGGGCCATTGGCCCTCACACGTCCGGACCATGGACTTAATTGCGCTGTTCGAGTTCGCATTGCTACAAGATATGGGTCTTCTAGCCGTCATTTCAGATCTGTGCTCTCCTAGAAGATCACGCACACCAAGATTCGAAGACTGAGTCCCGAGCAAGAGCCCCGACCTGACGGAGCTCGAGCGGAACGAACTGGTAGTAGGACAAGGCCTGTTGGGAGGAAGAGGGTTGAGGGCTTGCACGACTTAGGGCCGACGGTTCCGAGTGAAACAAGATGATTTCAAGGTCGTTCAGACGAGCGGCCATACCACGCTCGCAGCACCAGAAGAGATCTCGTGATTCTACGCAGGTTGTTCCTCCGGGGGCAGAGGTGCTACCGCATTGCAGGCCTTCTAACATAAAACCCCACGTAGTATCTATCCGACATCCTCATTGGTCAACACATGAGCGAGTAGGACGTGAGATCCAACACTTTGGGGTCTAGCGCAGGTATCCACAGCAACCTGCGCCTTTTAAAAATGAGAACAAAGAAAGAAGAGAAACAAAAAAGAGGGAAAGAAAGAAAGAGAGGAAGAGAGAAAGAGAGAAAGAAGAGAAAGAAGAGAAAGAAGAGAAAGAAGAGAAAGAAGAGAAAGAAGAGAAAGAAGAGAAAGAAGAGAAAGAAGATTCCTGTCGCAGGGTTCTGCTCAGCGTGTACCCATTGGCCAAATTGACTGCAAAACAAAGCAGTCGTACGGCATGCGACGACCGAGCCCTGAGCGCTGCCATCACTGCTACACCCTAAAGCCCAAGAGACAACTCTTCCTATCTCTGACTCTGGCTGCCCCAGGTGTCCTTGGCAATAGGTGTCGTACCGAAGCACCTCGGCAAGGCCCAGGTGACTAGATGGGAGACAGCAGCTCAATCCCGGTCCAAGCCCAAGCTTCCCGAAGCCTCCCGAAGCCTTCCGCCTTCCCCAGAGCCCTACAACCCTGCACTCAGAATGTGACCTTTTGGGACCTTGGGACCCGTTTTGGAGGGTTGAAGGGTTAGGGGCGCAGCTTCTCACAACATGAGCAGGTATACGGGCTGAAGCTTAACTAGGGCTTAGCGGGTGCTTGCAGCAAGTTGCTTCAGGGTTCAAAGCTTGACAGGACGTTGTGGAGCTGCTTGACCCGCGGTGGCTTCTCTTGCCCTATGTCCTGATTCTCCATGTGGGGGACATCCAGTTCAAAACCACCCCCTCACAATCCCATCACGCCAAGGTGCATAGTTCAGTGGACAGTTCATGACCTCCCAGGCAAGAGCGCAAAAGGAAACAGAGTCGATGTCGACATGCGCAGAGCAGTGCACTGCGCATCCTGCGATTATGCCTTCCTAATTCAGGCACTAGCTCATAGTTGCGAGAAAATGCAACTTTCTTTCGCCACAGGTTTGGGATCACAAGAGAGAAGCCAGCAAATCAGCAGAGGAAAAAGTCTGAAGATGTCTGAAAGCAACTGGGCGTGGGGCCGAGCAAGGCATCGCGGGGCGGCAGCAAATGTTGAGGTCCTTGAAGCTGTGCTCTGCAAGGATTAGATAGATAGGTCCGATAGGGTTTAGGGTTCCTTAGCCATTGGCCCATTGGGAAAGAGGCTTCGGAGATTCCTAGACAAGCTCTTGCCAACTCTTGACAGATGAAGGCGTTCCGAAAAGACTACGCCCTGAGCTTGCCACGCGAACCACATCGCAGGTGATGCCATCGCAGTATGTGTCCTGCATGGTCCCCAGTTTGGGGGAAGGCAACAGAGCCCACACAAGAGAAAGAGAGAGAGAGCAAAAAAGAAACAAACCCAGAACCAGCCTAAGCCCTTTTCTTGTGGGCACTTGTCTGAGTTGCAACCTGGCGTCTGGCCAGGCAGTGAAGCCATGAGGGCAGGCATAGGAGGTGGAGCACCTCGCAGAGGAGATCTGCTCACCAAGCCATCGGCAGCTTGCCCATGAAGGGAGCACAGCTCGGCTTCGTATGTTTGAAACCGATCATCAAGGGGTTCTAGGACTCTATAGAACTCGAGTTCCTTTACTCTATTTCCTGCTGGAGGCTCCAGGACTCGGCGGACTTGCCGCCAAGTCACAGCGGTGCCGGCTCGCAGCAAAGGTCTCGATCACGGTTGATGTCACCTTCACAAGCACACGATGCCAGACCGTCGGACTTCTTCAAGCCGAGGTTCTCACAGTCTGTCACGTGCTTGGGGCCACCAAACCTCCACTCTCCTCTTCAAAGGGCTCTGACCTCTATTAAGCTAAATTCGCTTGGGGGCCGGCCTGTAGCCTGAGCCCCGAGATGCCCCTAAGATGCCCCTAAGATGCCCGTAAGCCCCTGAACGGGAAACTGCGAGCCGTCTTGGCATCCAAGGGAGGGCGGACGAACAGAATTCGAGCTCCAGAGCATGCCAAGGAGCAGATCGTGGCAGGACAGTAGGTGTCGTATGCCGCCGGATCCTGAGGAAGAACTGAGCAAATCTGACAAATCTGAGGACCCCAGAAGTAACTCACTCCACCTGTTGACGTAGGGGTCTGGGGCGCTTTCATGGAAGCTTCGCATCCCTCAACAGCTGGGAGTGGGGATGTCTCGGATGTCTCAAGGCGACCTACCCAGCCACCGTGAGTTGCCAAGGTCCCGGCAAACGTGTAGCCGTGACCGCAGGTGAGCGTGTTACCTACGCAGGGCTGCACGTGGCAGGAACACGAATCTGGAGGTTAGGCGCGACTAGAGCGAAACTTCCAATTCAATGATGCAGGGGTTCGGGCTACGAGGCTGGGAAGGTCTTGCAGAACGTTGGGGTCTTTCGCTGCGCTGCGCTGCGCTACACTCTGCTGCTACAGCCACGCATACTCCCGCGGACACCAGTGCCATCAACACGTCCAAGAAGAACGCTAACTCACAGTGACACCAAATGCCCAGTGGCAGTGAGCAGCGACATCGCAGCAGCGATTCAAGTCGTTGGTGGTAACATTGCCTTGGTTTGACTCGGCTACAGTGTGTCATCAGGATTCTCTTTTGGTCAGGTGCTGCCTTTGGGTTCACGACTCGTGCTTCTCAATGAATTATGGAAACACATCCCACAAAGCCCCTAAATGCCCCAGATTCCAGACATCCTCTTGAGGCTCGGCCATGCAATCAAAGGCTCATGCCCCAAACTCGCAGGTGAGCGCCCCGATGTTCGACTTGTAGATGTAGCCTCCGGTGGGTCTGTCTAGAGGCTTCAGGGACATATGGAGGCTTCCGAAAGTACGAGGTCCTTATCATGAGGGAATGTTACTATTTGAGGGTCTATATTAGGGGTCCCTTATTTTCGGGAACCCCCATATAGGGCTTAGGCTGCATGCAGGAGGGGAGAACTTTAGCCACAAGACCGAAAAACCATCAAAGCAGAACCTCCCTGTAGTATCTGTGCGACCGGGCTGCCATTGGGGCAGGTGAGGGACGTGCACGGATCGGCCGACTTACCTGCCCCGAGGTGGCAAAGTAAGAGTAAGTGAGCCCAGTTGGGGTCCTCGGAGTCCCTTGGAGGGTTTAGGGTTTAGGGGTGATATATGATGTCTTCTCCTCGGGTTAGAGGACGACCCCCAAACCCTGCGCAGTCGCGCGCCCGCAACGACTGGGATAACTAACGAACTCTCTGCCCCTCCCACTCCCCCTGACATGGTCCAATGACTTTGAAATTAAATAACGAAGCTTCCCGACACTGCAGTGCGGGCAATGAGTGACTGGTTTTGAGTGACCTTCAAGCTCTAAGCAATGCAAAAAGCAGCATAGCCCGGCACACACTGGCCGCCACTGCACAGACGTTTCTCCGTCTCTCAAGAAGCCGAGCTGCAACACACGTGCAAGCGGTCGACACCTCGGCTTGGTTGCAAAAGCTTCCATGCGTCCAAAATCAATGGTCGGAGATCTGGCCATGAGGGGCCATCTAACTCGACATAATCCCTTCTTTCAGGAGGAATATCGCAGCACTCCATATCTTTGACGCTCTCCGACCGAAGGTTTTGCGGAATACAGAGCTCGATGCTGAACCTCTCAGCGGCCCAGCTGCTGTCCACGCAAGGATCCGAGATGCAGCGCTCGTCATAGTCGAACCAGTAACCTCTCATGCAATTCAGAGGCTGCCAGATCAGGTGGCACCCAAATGTGCCAAACCTGCCTCCGGGGACCCGATTGCCCAAGCCAGGAATATTTGTGGCTCCCAAAAATGCCCAGGCCCAACTACTTGCGCCAAGGCACCATAAGGACAGGTGTTGTCCTTGGATGCAGACTGCAGACTTTCCCCAGTTGCAAGAGGCATCGGCCTGCCCTTTACAAAGCCAGCACTAGTCGGTTTCTCAGGCCAGACAAACACAGTCAAACGCTTCCAAACTTTGCTTCAAGCATCTGCCAGTGTACTGCATCCTCCTGACACCAGACAGCCTCAGGATCCGCAGTTGGGGGCTGCTCAGTCCTAAAGGCTGTGTTTCTTCACCAAACACACTGAGCGTGAGCCAAGAAGCAGTGGTCGAAGTCCAGCGTCACATTGCAAGAGGTGCCTTGTCAGCTCTCATTCTTTTCAAGGTGGGCCAAATGGGCTGATGGTTTAGACTCCTTTAGACCAGTCATACTCCCTATGTTGCAAACAAAGCCGAAGAGAGCATCCTGAAGGGGCAGCTAAGGCCAAAGGAGCCAGGCGACCGCTGCAGTACGTGTCACCTGCAGAGCGCACTGGTTGCAGTGGCATTATCAGAGCGGAGACGACCAGCCACAAAGCATATTCAGAAGCAGCTCTTTGCACCGAGGCATGCCAGGATGTGACCCTGAAGCCTTTTTGGACCTTTGCAGGTCCGAATCCTTTTGACATCCTGGACCTTGGGCTTCCGGGCCAGAAAGCATTCTGTGGGGTGGTTCCTCTTGGGCTTCTGCAGCCGTGCGTCTGAGCTGATAGTAGCCATGTCCGCCTGGGATCTCTGCAGCATAGGCAACTGAACCGAGGGCCCGCATGCTGGCCTGCTTGACTAACAGTGACATGAACCTCACAACCTCCAGATTCAAAACCTCACTGCAGCCCATGCCCCCCTCCAAAAGATTAAAGGAACTCCACAGCCCAGGCGCAGGTGATGTCCGTGCAGGGGGCCGCCACATCACAGCACACCAGGAGGTGGACATCGATGTCGCACTCCTGGGGTTTCTGAGCTTTTGCTTGTTTTCGGGATTTTCGTGCACACAGCCTGAAGCGAAGGGGATCAGTTTTTTGGATATCATGTAAGGAGACCTTTCTTACACCGAATGTTGCCTCAATGATGTATGTCATGAAGATGTAAAGAAAAACTTGCAGACCCACCTTTCTAGACTCCAGGCTCTCGACCCAGCTCCGATCACCCTGTGCATGTGCAGCCAAAAATCTGCCGCAAGGCAGTATATGTTTTGATCGTCCGGCTTCGGCAAGTAGCCTTTGGGATCAATGCAGGTGATGCAATCACAGAGCTTGACACACAGGACAACAGAGTCGCAGTCTGCCTCCTTCCTACCAAAAGCTCCAGCGGACTTCAACATGCACCTCATGTATCTCACGTGTGGCACCCCGCTTACATGGGCGCCGCTCTTTCGTCATTCTTTTCCTTCGAAGAGCCAAGCAGCCGTGTGAGCAGTTCAGGCCTATGTCGCAAGGCATGGCCCGCTGGCAGCACTTCCTGCAGGGCGTTTGCTCCAGACCCGGGTCTCCGTGCCAACCCCTGTTTCTTTGGATGAAGAGGGTTCTCCTGCTTCTGGAGTGCAAGAGTGAGTGACTTGCAGTTAGTTGAGGTGGCGCAGAAGCCATGCCTGGGCGGCCTAGGCGGCCTTGCTCCATCCCCTTGGAGTTCACGTTGGCGAACGCCCCCAACCCGGTTCAGCAAGAGAGCTTGCATTTCGCATGTCGCACGAAGCACTAGGAACCTGTACTGTGGCAAGACACAGGCAAGACAGGGCGCCATCCTCGTGGAGACCGGGCAATGTGCAGCCACGTGCAACTGGTACAGAATACTAAGTGCGCATCGTGACCCATGCGCCCACAAAAACTCACTCATTCACCACCCTTTCCTGTGAGAAGGGGAATGGCAGGATTCGGTGCCCTCGGTGTAGAGTGGTGAAATGGGGTGAAGGCCAGCTCCGGCCGGCATCCACTGCCGCTTTTCAACAGAGTCAACTTACCCTCGTAACCCCTATACAATTTAAACTTCTGCCTTCTCAGAAACCTAAGCCTTGGAGAAATCCGAACCCAAAGCAAAGAACTGACAGTGAGTTTGTAGCCCTTCGGTCTCGAGGTCCGTGACATTGTCGCCTGACAGACGGGCAGGGTCTTTTTTTCGAGGGGTGGAGGGGCTGTGTGGCTGTACTGAGGAGTCCTGCGACCTGTGCCTTCCCTCCCTGAGAACTTGAAAGCTGCTCAGCGGAGATCTTCACTTCACCCCGCTTGAAAGGCCAAAGGAAAGTTCTTCCCAACTGCAGCACGGCTGCACACACGCTGCGCACAAAGATCCGCACTGTTGAAGTACTCACCGAAGTTGCCTTAGTGGAACAAGTGGCTCATTGGTCGTCGGATGTTGCTCATCTGTGAGTAGCGAGACTTGTCCCCTGTGAGTAGCTAGTTAGCATTTCCTGAACCCCGACTCCGAGTGTAAAGTGAGCCCTTCCCCCCAAGCTTCCAGGTCGCAGTCGTCGTGCGTGTACGGGAGTAAGCTGCAGGAGCCCTGTTGTTCGCAACAGAGGTCTCCTGGGCATTGGGCTTAGGGTTTGGGGTCTAGGGTTTGGGGTTTAGGGTTTAGGGTTTCGAGTTTCCTTCTTGCTGGGATGGCAGGTGGCTCGTCGTGGCTCAGGGGCTCACGCCCTCCAGTGCCGTCGAGTCGCGGTCGCTATCCGGGAAGCAGATGCTGTTGGGGCACTGGAGTTCGAAGGCATTCGGCTTTAAGACATAGCCAGTCCTGGAATCGGCTTCTGGGACTCCCAAGATGCTCTGAAAAAGCGTGTCTCACACGGCGGGCGCGTCTAGCGCGCCAAGTGAAGTCTCAGGACATGCATTGAACTCGGGCCTTTGGGGATGTTGAGCGATCCCTTCAGGCAGACCTGACAGCTGGTGCGGCCAGGCCACACACACTGCAGGCCGTCGCAGAAAGCTGCGGGCACACAGCAGATGTCCTTCCGCAGTCTGGCGTGCAGGTCCGGAATCCGGATTCCGGGCTTGACACTGAGAGACTCCATCTTCAGGAGCTTATAGCAGCTATAGTGGGACATCCCCAGAGGAGTCGAGGGCAGGAGGCCAGCCTGGTCCAGGATCTGATCGCAGTACCGATCCCTGCACCAGCCGTTCCTGAGAGCTGTCAGGGGTTCTTAAGGTTCAAGGGCTTGGGTTGGGATGCTCCCCCTTATCCTAACAGCCCTCAATAGGGATATTAGGACCCCCCCCTATTATCATCCCTATTGAGGACTGATAGTAGAAGGAAGAACATCCCAATGCTTTGGGCTTGAAGTTTAGCTGAAAAAGCTTGCTGTTAACGAATTTCAGCGCGAAGTTGCCCAAAAGAAGGGCGAAAACTGCAGTAAATAACTGGGGATTCCTTCTGCTTCCATGAACAGCAACCAAAAAGAAGGTCCTTCTTCAGCTTCCGGCAACAACTTCCATGAGGCATTTCAGGTCTGCCATGATGGAACGTTGGGCGCCGGAGGCTATGAGTTCCTGCCCATTTTGCAATTCAAGGCTTCAAGGTGGCTCCAGAGGCCTTGCGCCGGCTTGCGCGCGTCTTGAGATGCTGGTGCGAAGGTGCTGTTTGTAACTGGTTGCAAAGAGCAGCTCATTTCAAGCAACCCTGGCTGGGCGTAGACAAGTCGACATACTGATGGTGGAGGTGGTCACGCAAGGTTCACCCAAAAAACTCCCCTGCGGCCATGACATAAACCCAAGGCTTGCAAAAATTGTCAAGGCGCAGGTCGGGGACGAGGCTTTGCGAGCGGTCGCAGGTGGTGATCACCGAGCACGGCTCCACCTGTTGCATCTCAGGATGTTTGGGAATTCGTTTGAGCTGAGGGTCGGAGGTCTCTTTGGAGACCCCACCTCAAATCATCCGATCCCCTGCCCAAAACCCCCCGTGCTTTTCGTGCCTTTTTGGAGGCTTTGCATGGAGAACCAAAAAGCCCTGAAACTGTCGACTCCAACGAGCGATCCCCTCCCAAAGAGCCAGGAAACACGCACTCTCCAGTCCTCCCTAAGGCTCTCTACGGCCCGAAAAATTCCCCCTTAAGTACCTTGAAATATGAGGACCCAGGGGCCCTATGAGGAGAAAACAAAACAGCCGACCTGGTCGCAGCAAGTGTCGCGGTCGCCCGTCGGATCGCAGACCTCTGCTTCTGCAGGCTGGCTTCAACAGATGGGGGAGCGTGAGGGTTTTGAGGGGTTCGGGGGTTCACAGCTTCAGGTTGCATAGTTTGGGAGGGGGCGCCTTGGGTGTCCTGGCTCTTTCAGTTTCATCCGCGATGCAACACCAGTGCTCGGAACTGCGTGCGGCCATCGTCACGTGACTATCAGAAGAAGCAAGAATACGAGGAGCCGAGAAAGACCCGTGGGTGCCGCAATTGCTCGCAGAGAAGTACAACCCAGTGCTTTCATGCAGTCAACCAGCCAAACCTGGGAAGCGCAAGGGGCAAAAAAAAAAAACACACACGCAGAGCGAGCATGTTCACTTGCAAGCTGGGCGTCTGCCCTGTGACAGAAGAGCTCCTTTGCATCCAGCTTCAAAACGTAGCTGTAGACGCAAACCTGGGAACGAAGCTGTGCGAGTCGAGGGCTCACAGGTCCGCGACTGTGCTCTACACGGTGAAAAGGATCGAACACTAGCGCCCCTTTCAATCAAGCGCTTCAGTGTCTGAGCCGAACCCCACCGGTATCAAATGTCAATGGGGTGGGAGGGAGCGCAGTCCACCATGTCAGGCCTGGGGCTACCATTAGGGAGAACTTTTAGATATCTCAGAAACAGCTGTCCAACCGCGATCTGGCTGTGATAGTAAGATCATCATATCAACCATATAGTTCCACTCACAATGTGTGGGCCAGGTGACCCCAAGAGACGCACAGGGCGCTCTTTCGATGTAGAGCGTGCCGTCAATGTTCTCCTGAGTCCCGAGCTGCGTGGCACTCATCTGCGCTCGCTTGGGTACAAATCTTTGGGCATCTGTAAGGCATGCATGGTGGGGGCGGCCAAGTCGCCAGGAAGTGCCAGAAAAGCACATTGGTGACGACCTGCCCCGCGAATTCAGGACGCATGATTTCAGAGTGTACCTTAAGAC